AAGTGGCGTGATCCAAGACAGAATAAGATAAAGTTTGACGCTTTTCCACAGATCACTAGTGTACTAAAAATTGAAAGTACTAGGCTTTTCAGTAAGAATACTAAACATTCCTTCTTACCTGCAAATCATTGTGAGATCATATAAATCCTGTTGTTGAAGACTGTACGTAGTCCTAATAAGGTGCATCAGCGCTGAAGGACCATTTGTAAGGGTGAACATTGTGACAATAAAAGTCACTGTCAATGTAACTCGATGTTCAGTTTTCTGCATTTGATTCTCATTGTTTCTCCTAAAACGTTGGTAGTTTACAACCCTCATGGTAGTTCAAAGAAGAATGAATCAGGTTATCGAATAACTACGTGCCTTTTCTTTCTAAAATAGCAGCCGACTACAAGGTTCAGACTAGAAAGCTCAACCAGCACTTTAATTGATCAATCTTATGTTATCACTTGGATCCTGTAGGCCAACGTTCAGTAAAAAATAGTAAATTTGATCCAAACCGTATAGTTTCCGTAATCACATAGTATATTGTGAGGACTGAACGATAACTCGCTAGGCAAATTATAGTGAAATACAAATCTCTCGCATTACAGAAAAATTAAGCTGTCAGTTCAGCTTGTTTTACCCCTGTAGACATCATTTCAACTGCTTTTATTTTAACCTAACAGAATTCATTGCAGAAGCCGCCTACATTTTCTTGTGGAAGGAAACTTCTCCTTTCGCATAACATAGTGTGCGTTGCCAGAGCATCCGAACAATTCTTAGAATTATTTTCTTGCGAAGAAAAAAACGGCACGAACTTATCCGAAAACCCAATAATTTGCACAAACCTCTCCGTTGCATCGCAGCCAATTGCTAGATGCTTTTGTCGTTTGCGTAAAGCACACAGAAGCATAAGATTGAGCATAGTAAGTAGAATAATGGGAAGGATGATCATTGCCAGCGCATAAATCAGTACACAGAGGGAGATAATAGATCTATACACAGAAGAAAACGGATTTTCTCGATTTCCAAACCATGTCCTAAAAGACTCTATATTCCAGATCTCATGAATTGAATACGCAATGGTCCCATTAGAAACAAAAACACAAAACAATTTCCGAGCAGGTTCCGCATTGCTCCCATTCGATTTCCTCTTATCTGGATGCTGCATGTATTTACGTCAAAATTAGAAGTAAGTATTTGCGATTTTTTTTCACACTTTCGACACCCAACGACTACTATGTGACCTAAGGGATTTAGGTATTCCTTAAGATTCGTAAAAATGAGCATAACTGAATAAAAGTAAGCAAATTGTTGATTTTTTT